TGACCTGAGCCGAAGGCAGTCGCTTAACCAACTGAGCCACCCAGGCGCCCAAAGTACTACCATTTTTATTTCAATTAACATTGAAGTCAATTGCCTTTTTCTTTCAAATCTGTAAACAATATGATACAACCAGTTTCATGATTTGGGCATACACACACACACACACACACAATAAATCAAGCCTAAGCTACATGGTTGACCATCTTGATACAGTTTGAAGTTTACTGGAAAGCAATCCTATGAAAGGCTTGGGGACGTTTGTGGTACTAGACATAAACAGCCCATGAAAAGAAAAAGTGGCCGACACTGTATGACACAGGGTCTGATGCACACTCTAAGTCTTAACTAAATGAGGACTGGATGTGATAGAACAGACCTCATTCCCCATGGTGAGCAGCTCATAGGCTTTTCTGAAATCCTACAACGGTACTATTACAAATGATGGAAGGCTGACCCTTTAGTAATAACAAAATGTTACTTTTTTAGAAACACTGAAACAAATTCTGATTTTTTTTTCAAACTCCTATCTAAGTATGTTTATGTTGGAACTGATTATGTCTATACATGTAAGGGACCGAAGGAAATCAACAGATCAGATGATTTCCCTAAAATACACTTTATTTTAACCATTTAAGTCTCCAGTTTAAGGTTATAAACAGTTCGAAGACATTCATTAGAAAACAAGATGTGAATTGAGAAGAACAGATTACTTCCCTGGAAATCTGTATCTGTACTAAAAAACAGGGAAAAGAACAGAAATTTCTCTGTATGTGTTTTATATAATGATACTCCAGAAAACATATCAATTAAATAATACTTTGTATGGGTACAATTTTTAAGTCATTTTAAAAATTCCTAAATGCATTGTTATTTCTTATATATACTTATAAATCTAAACAGTAAATGTGAATATGTAATTTGCATGTGTTATTTTTCTTTCTGCAAAACCTTACGATGTATAAACCCAAGAATGAAAAGTATTTCATTATTTTTTTTAACCAGTGTTGGCGAAATAATAGAAAAGTCTGCACAGCCAGGTTTCTTTGAAGAAAAAGAGTAGTAAAGTTTCTATTTTCAAAATGAACAACTTGCTATAGATTTTAATTTATATGCACTTATTAAATTAAAATTAAACTGGTGAAAGCCACACACAACAATAAAGGTACATCTTATTTCCTTTCTAAAACCATAAGCTTAGATTCTTGTACCTTTCCAAAATGTTTTTTAGATCATATCCATTACTCTCTGCCTAATGCTCACATTCAAATGCCAATCCAAATAGCTACACATATACCCATGTATAAATATTAAGATATTTAACATCAAGTTACTACTTATCTGAAAAATATACCTACTGTTGCATATTTTAAACATACACCTGTGGAATGATAAATGTTGTCTTATGGTTAAGCTTATGAGAACAAATTAAAGAGCTGAGAAAGGGATTTATTAATGGTCATTGTTTTTAGGTCTTCATTTACACTTATTACTTTACCTCATATTTTATCTTAAGGCACATTTCCTTATACATGTAGTATGTGAACAGAAATTGGTAAGCCCAAATGAAAATAATTATGTCACTTCTAACACATGAAAAAGATATCCATTCCCATGTTATGACATAAACTTATTTCCTATAGCCTGTAAATATAAATTTGTCTAATAACAGAAAAAAATATTTATATCTTAAGTATTTAAACCCCAAACTACTACTGTTTCATGAGATGTATCTATTTCCTTTAGATACCTATAATTCTTATTAATATGTGTATCCTATTACACAGTCTATATTAAAATCCTCATATACCAATGGGCTCTCAGCCAATTACTCCTGACTGATTGGTATTTTGATGTGACTGAGATAAAAGTTTAACATTAAATAGTTACAACTACAGTGATTTTTTTTAAAATCCGGATTTGTAAATAGATTCTAAAAAAGCAATAGATTTAAATTAACGTTACAATATTGGCTAACATACATATCATTCTGAGTTTTAAAACAAAAGTGTTTTTATTTATGTGCTAAGAAATTATTTCTAGAACAAGCAAGAACTCTCCCTCTTTGAAAACTCTTATCTTAAACTACCAATATAATATGTGCATACTATAACATGAAAATGGTGTGACTTCCATTTATATATAAACCAATATGCATTAGGTGGTTGATACTATATGGCATATTTACAATTCACACTTTATTGAGACAATCATTTCCAAAAGTAAAGCCTAACCTAGCAAAAGAACTGTATCAAAATTCCTTTCTTGGTGGGGGGAGGGAAACCTTGTTATTTTAGTGTTAGGTCTTAGAACAGTTTAACTATACTTAAATCCAGAAGAATATGCTATGTGAGAATATATGCTAAACCAGGAAAAATTAAAAAAGAAATTTAAAAGGATACATTTGTTTTACTATAATAAAACTTAAACCTTTAATATTATTGTAAACACTACTTAAAAAAATTAAAGCTTTGTATTAGTAATTCTAATTCAGGTCCCACTCCAGTGAGTGCACAATTAATTTTATACTGTGTTGATGGCATGCTCTTCCTCTAAAACTGATACTACATTTTCTGGGGAAAAATAAAATTGTCAAAAAAAAAAAAATTTATTAATGATTTCCAGAGAAATTTATACATAGGAGTGTTAACAGTTTGCCTTCAATGATACTATGTAATCTTTGTACTGAGTTTTTATAGGCTTGGAATTTTTTTTCCAAAGATTTGAGATTTATCATGATAAACACTCAATACGAATCCTTTTCTTGCAAGAAAAGCAAATGGCACACCTTGATAAAATTAACACTGCACTTTTTTAAATTTCATAAAGTTTATTCAGAAACCTAACAAGAAGTACAAATGTCAACTCTCATTTCTCCTCTCCTCAGAATATTTTAACTTCAGGAATAAATTACTGAAAATGCACAAGACTTATACAAATAGCATTAATGTTACCTACAGGAGACTCACTTAGCTCTACAAAGTCTTTTATTAAGCTTTTATTCTACAAAATAATTAATGTTTCATATTATTTGAAAATATCTTAAATTCCCATTGTTAAAAAATAAATTTCAAATCCTTTCAAGGGGAAGAAATTGTGGTTTCCTGATTCCTATTTTTCTTCCCTATTTATTTTCGTCTTGTCTCCAGTGAATTTCTGATCATAAACATGAAGTTATTTTAATTTTAGGAAAGCATTTTTTGCAGAGGTCCTTCTCACAATAAGGATTTGTACATTAGTATTTTACAATGGTATGTTCTGGAATAAAAGGTTGTATTTTGTTGTATCTGTAAAAAGTCACAGTTTCCCCCAGTGGGGTGAATGATGCATTCCCTCCAAATGAAAGAAATATTGATAAATTGTCAGTTAAAAATAACACGTTAAAAATATGTCAACTGCACACACAGACTCCTTTTTGAAGAGCCACCTCTCCATTTGACACAAATGAAAGCGAGTCACTTGAGTTCTCGCTTTATAGGCCAAGCTACAAAAAGAATAAAGAATTCAATCAATAAAAGTGTAATTTCCTAATAAGAGTGAATAATTTTGAAGCATCTTTAGAGCAATTCTTACTCTATATATTTCAAAATATCCGCTTGGAACATCCTACCAATTAAAGAGAGATCTACAGATGGTATTTCCCCTTTCGCTTCCTAACAAAAAGGATCTGCCATCATCTTTATGGAAGATTATCTAAAAAGGAACACGACTGTAAATCAATGACAAAAAATATTCGACACTCCCCTTCTCCGGGTGAGAATGTGCATCCTTCAGATTCTTACACTGACACCTAATGGAATAAATACTTTAAGCTGCATCTTAAATAATCGCTGCAGGGTTTCAAGAGGTAAAGGTTCACTGTTAGCATCCACCAAAAACTCCAGTATTCAGCACTCGGCCAACAAAGGACAGCAAATAATTCCCAACAGCAGAAATACCGGGAAGGCTACCTTGGGCTTTGTTTTTGTTATGGAAAATGCATTAAAGTGACTCATCCATTTAAGATCATCTACTCTTAGAAGCTTTAAAGTAGCTTTAAGAACCAAAATAAATGCTTTCCCAAAATGCCCGACAGGCTCTTCAGCGCATTTAAAAATGTGTATATATTTTTATGAGCTACTGACTTTGCTTCTTTTTTTCCAGACTGAGAGAAAAGAGAATTATTATTTTTCATTCCCTTCCTGCCGTGTGACTCCAGAGTTACCTTTAGATACTCTATTTCCAGAACGGCAGCGAATTTTTTAAGTGATTTTAGAAATGTTAAAAATAAGAGAAAATTGCAGGCGACTCTGGAAACGTACATCGCTCCCTCAAAGAATAGGTTCTATTCGTTCTAAGAGCAGGAACAGCGCGTCTGCCCGCACTTAGATGCTTCAAAAGAAGGATGAGGAGGTTGGATGGTGTGGTCCGTGGTCCCAAACCCGCGAGCCCCTTGAGCGGACAGCACTCTAAGCTGCGTCGCGCGAGCACTCTTCGGATGACACGGACTGTCAAGTGCGCCCCGTAATTTGCGATTTAATGAGTTGGGGCACTACAGCGATTAGCATCCCCCAGGCCAAGGGCGGGAGAAGTCCATGCCACCCTGGCAAGCATGAAATTACCTATTTGTAAAACACCCAAGCAAACACAACTTTTTTTTTTTTTTTTTTTTTTTCCTGGACTGGATTTGAGGACAGCGCGTATCTGGCTGGAAACTTTCTTCCCCCCAGTACAGCTAAACTCGAAGTCTAAGGAACCCTCTCGGGGGCGGGCGGGGGCGCCGCGAGTCGGCGGCGGACGTCTCCCGGGACAGCCCGGCCCCCCGAGGCGCCCGGGCGCCGGCTCGGCGCGCAGTCCGGCGGCGAGCGGCGCGCACCGCCCGCTCGGCCTCTCCAGATCCCAGCCCGGATCGCTCCCCACCCCCACGGGCAGAAGAGCCCCGCTGGTCGGGCGCCGTCCCCGCGCCCAGCTCCCGCGGCACCCCTCGGCGCGCCCTCGCAGCCCTTCCCGGCCCGGCGACTTACGTGACGGCCGAAGGGAACGGCTCCTCCGACGAGGGGCCGATCAGCCAAGACTGCAAAAGTGTCAGCGTCAGGGCCAGCAGGCAGCCAGCAGCCATCTTCGCGATCGAAGATCAATCCCGCCTCCTCCCGAGCCGCGGGAAGGAACGGCGCTGGAAACCGCGCGGGGAGCAGCAGCACACGCCGGCCGGAGCGCGGACGTCCGGAGAGCGGGCGCGCCGGGGGCCGGGGCGCGGACTGGCGCGCGCGGGGCAGGGGCGGCGGCGGGCGGACCCCCTAGCGCGCGTCGGCTGCTCCGCGCCGCGGCTGCCGCGCCTCCGCCGCCATCAAGGGCGACTTCGCAAACGGAGCTGGGCGAGTCCGCCGGCGCTCGCGCGCTCTCGCTACGCCTGTGCCTCTCGCTTTCCTCCCCGGTTTATTCCCCTGATTGCCGGGGGCGCGGGCGCGGGCGGGGGCGGGGGCGGGGGCGGCGCTGGGGAGGGGCGGGGGGGATGCAGGAGTGGGGGAACGGCTGGCGGAGAGACTTGTGGCAGGGAGCGGCTCCGTCTGGCTTCTCCGGGCAAGTCAGAGGGAGGCGGCGGGGGTGGGCCGCGGGAGGGGGGGGCGTCAGAGCAGGCGGGCGGAGACGGCCCGGGGCAGCCCTCCCTACCAGGCAGAGAGGAACTCCCAAAGTCGGCGTCGGCTTGCTCCCGCCGCGCGGCGTGAGGCGGGGGAGCGGACCCAGCCCCACGGGGCTCGCGGGGGCCAGCCAGCCGCCCAGCGGGCATCCACAGGCTGCAGAGCTCCAGCCGAGTACTTGGCTTGCGTCTTCGGGGGTTATTTTTGCCCAGGCAGGCGCGCTGCCCCAGCCAGCCCTTCTCCCAGGCGCAGAAGCCCCCGCCTGCCTAGGAATCGTGGAGAAGCGATTTGACCACAGATGTAGGAGGGGTTCGTATTTGCATTTTAAAGCACCACTTTTGACTCTACCAGGTGGCACTATTTGTTTGCCCAGGGGTGCCAGAGGCTAGAGCCTCTGGCGTGGCAGAATGACAGTCGTGCCCGCGGCCCCACGCCCAAGCAGGGCTCACCTGGCGAGGACGGAGCCTCAGGGCCCGGGCCCGGACTGTCAGAGAAGGACCTGGCGCTGTAAAATCTTTCCAGACCTGCGTTCAGTAGGACAGAGTGGTGGAGGGACGAATTCTCCCTCCCGGGAAGACAGTGCTGCGAAGGGCTTTTTAACATCCTAGTGAGACTACTTCCCAAAGGTTCCCTGCTTTGGCCACTGGGCCGCCTTGCCTTGACAGGGTTGCCGCAGGCGTGAGTTCACTCTGTCAATGTGAAAGCACGAAAAGGGTAAGCAGCAGGAACAGGTGGCAATTTGCGAAATGCGCTTGAAATGTGGAGGAGGAAAGAAAGGTGGGGGGGGGGGGGCTAAGAGCTAGGGAGCAGCCCTGCCAGACCAGTTTCACCTCCACCCCCAGGAGAAGGAGTGGTGCGGCGAGCTCAGCCCTTCTAGAAAGAGCAGAAGGGTCTTGGATTAGGCCTCTCCCTGGGGCACAGGCCTCCTTCAGGAAGGAAGTGGTGTGCCAGGGGTGGAAAGGTTTCCTTGTCTTAAATCCTTAAACTCCCTTATAGTAATGTATTGGAGCACTTCGGGCAGGAAGTGAAAAGAACACCATTTCTGATGGAAAAAATGACCATCCTGCATATGTGTAAAAGCTGTAATTATGGGGTGGCTGTAAGATGTTTAATTAGCTCTTTTTTTAGTTTAACCAGGAGCTTGTGAAAGGAAAAAAGACCCTTATTAATTCAGAATTGATTTTCCAGCTTTCTCGGGCAGCCTCCCCAAACGGAGAAGACCCATAGTACTTACTAGCAAAAATTTTAAAGTGTATGTGATTTTATGATTCTTGATCCCGTAATGTTTTCTTCTCCCTTCCTCCTCCTTTTTTGTGCCTTATTTGTTTTCTTTATATTCTCTACATCTCTAGCTTGCACTTTGTTTCTTTCTTCCTATTCTGAGTGGCCTCACAAAAGGCACCCCACCGTGACTTAACTTAGTTTGTTTTTTGCTAAGCATAAAGAGTGTGGCCACAGGGGCTGGCAAATGAGAAATCAAGTGGGATGTAATGGGATTGAGAAGTAGAGCTCCGGAAGGATATTTTATGTAACTGAAGATGGCCTTCCAGTCCAAATTCAGATAACCAAATAATCAAGCCCATCATTTTTTGCTTCAATTTTTAATGATTCAAAGCAGATTTTCTTTCTCAGCATGGGGATTACGAATAGCAGGATTAGATGCCCAGTACTGTCTATGTGATATGTTGGTATCATAAGAGTCTCCCTACATAAAAATATTGTATTATATTCTGTCAATTATTTCAGTAAGGACTTCAGACTTCCTACTAAGGAAGTACACCGTTTCCAATTTATATTTTTAAGAGAAAGAGCTTAAAGAGCAAAAGGAATGTAATAAACTTCTAGAGAAGGTAAGTCAGCCTTCATTATTTGTTGGCCTTTGAGCCAAATCTCAATTTCTTTGGATTCCTCTGATGAAGCACTGTGTTCTCTAATATCTGAAGTTGTTGAAGAAAGTTATTGCTTCTAGAATTCTTTCTGAAAGTGCTGGTTATCACCTGTAAGCCTAAATCATTGCTTAATACTCTGTTATGAGGTTTGCTATTAAATGCTTTATTATCCTAAACCTTTCTGATGAGGATATTCAAAATGTGGCTTTTATTTCTTATGTATGATAACTAAAACAGGATCATTTTCACAACATAGCATTATGTGTCTATTGGATTAGCCATAGCCTTCTACAGTGCACTGTTTCAGCTCAGTTATTTTGAAAAATTCCATGAAAACCAGATCATATCCCATTAATTGTAATAAAATTTTGCTTATTCACCAAAATTTGCTATTCCAGATAAAATGTTTATAAATCATAAGGATTGATGATAAAACTTGTGTTATGGGCCATCTGCAAGCAAGAAGTCAGAAATCAATATCTACTGTTCATTTAAGAGAAGATAATCTAATAAGGAAGATTAATGAGGATCTGATGTCTGTATTAATCATTTCTAGAAGAAAGTTTAATCCAAAATATTTAGTTCTGACTTTTCCTCATGACCAATTTATGATGTCTAACTTTTTTTATGATGTCTATTTTTGTCATTTTATGAGAGTCATTTTATGATGTCAGAGAAGGAATGTACTCTCAATTGCTACTATATGTAAATGTTTAATTTGTTCATATACATTTTATTTTTATTAAAAATGGACAAAGAACAATATGAACCAAATAGCCATGAAATGTCCCCTCTTACTCCTTTTTGGTTTTAGGTTATACTATGCATATTGGTAACATAAAATTCAAGTTTTGTTGCATTTTTCTGTGAGCGTATTTCTGTATGTATGTTAAAGCATTTTTGTAAAAAAATGTTTCAGTAAATCAGTTTTTCTTCAACATTTTTGCTTTAAGAGTAAGACAGTGTAACTAAAATGTTTTGTTTTGTTTTTCTCTTATGTACAAACACACACACAGAAACTCTAGAAAGAAAAATAATTCTCCTTGGCAAAAATATTTGAAAGCAATGACTAATTTTCTAGGTTCTTTTGGTATCTGTTAAGAAACTAAAAAAACAGCGACATCAGGCCTTATTCATTTATTTACATGCCAATAGGAGGATAAGACCTGTCTCTGAGATATATAGTGTGAGAGTCAGAATCAGAAATACTCATGATTTGAGGCAGTATGCTTCTAATGCATGCACACATGTGTTCCAGAGAGAGCCAAAGTTAAAAGCAAATGGACAGAAAACTTCAACTATCTCTGTCCTTGGGGAATATTTTCAGGAGATGGGAATAAGAAAAGAAAGCAACTCAGAACTATCAATTCCCAGGAGAATGGTTAAGGGAGCGTGTGATGGTTTTTACGTCAGTGTTCAGTATTTTTAAACTAACACAGCACAGAGAGGCCATTATAGGAAGCTCCATGGAAAAGACTCTACCTTGAGATGAAGAAAGATGGTCAAACATTCCCACCAACAACATAAATATTTAGAGGACATTTGTGGCCCAGGTAATACAGTTATTGGCAAGGCATTAAACTTTTAAGGGAAGAATGGACACAAAGGAACATTGAACAAGAACTAACTGGAAGCTTACTGTTTGCCCATCAGAATCCTATACTGACAATCTTCTGCTGATTTAAGTATTTAGAAGTATTACCAGTTATATTAAATGCTATCAAATCCTCAACAATGTGTTTTTAAATTTCTGCTAATGATGGATTTCTTCACTCCTTTTCCTGCCTTTCTCCTTTCCCCATTAAATACAGGCACATCTCAGAAAAAAAAAAAAAAAAAATCAGTACCTACAGCATGACTTCCCATTAAAAAAAAAAATACTATTAAGCTTGAAAATCTAGATTTCATTTTTAAGATCCTTCTTCACTCCATAGAGCTGGAGTTTTTGTTGTTCTTTTTCTTTTTCTTTTCTTTTTTTTTTTTTTTTTTTTTTGAACCATTAAGTTATAGCTCAAAGTATAGGGAATCCATTTACCTAGGCCTGCACAAAGGGAAGAATTCAGTTATTTATCCAAGTATTCAATAGCAGCAAAAATACAATGGAACATGGCTAGTAAGAGATAGAGGGTAACATTTGAAATGACCAAAACTAACAACTGTTGGCACTCTTTCCAGTTGTTGTTGTTTTTTTAATTTTATGGATGCAGCCTCTGATGAGAAAGAAAAAGAAAGATGGTTGATTGATATTACTCTGACACTAGGTTTTTAATATACTTTAAACACAGTAAACCGCCATTGTAACCTAGCATATTTTTATAAGATTGTAGGTATGTTATGGATCAAATTCACCACCCGTACAGATAATACAGAATTCATCTATTAGATGAGTGTCCACAGAAGCACCACAAAGCGTGTTGCCAGGAATTTCCCCCTCTGCGATAATGGGTAATGGAAAGACAGTAAGAGAGCAGTCATCTTGCTTTTATGAGCACAGATTTTAGATTTATATGATTAAAATTCCTGCTCTTATTGCAAAGAAAACATGACTACCTGGACATACCAGTAAACATAGAGTTACAATCCTACATTCGACTGAGAGATGAAAATATCTCTATTTTACTCACCTATCACAGATGGGAGATGCAAACTTGTAAGTTTCAGATTTGGAAACATTGGAAAATCAAGACAGTACAAATATTTTTATACAGTAATAACATCTTCTTAAAAGGTGAGGGGGTTCTAAGGGTTTCTGACAATTTGGGGAAAAAAGATACTGTGATGCCTAATCACCTAAAGGATACTGTTGTATGCTATCTAATGTCCTATTGTTTTTTATATAATTAATAATACATCAACATTTTATACCTTTAAGACCAAGGATCTACACAATTCTAAAAATAGCTTGCATCGTCTACAACTGGAAATTTA